CAATAGTGTATGTTACAGTTGTTAAGTTATAAATGAAGTCAAATCTAGGTTACATTTATATTAAGTATACATAGTAGATAAAATAACTTTAATATGGCAACCATTTCGAAAGCATTTGGACCCTTTGATGAAAGACCTAAAACAGAAGACGACTGTATTCTGTCCTGAGGTGACCCTAATGCTTTTTTACTCTGAAAGCTTTTTGGAAATGCTGGAAAAAACATCATCCTCACAGATCAGTACTGCTTTCAGTGGAATTACTGAAAACTCCCCTGAAGAATTTCTGAAGTGCCGGGTGGATGAGTTAGCTGACCTCCTACAGCCTTTAATTCTGTCTAATGCTTGACTTGTCAGAAACTCCTGTCTGATGCCCTTGTACAGCTGAGCTCAAATCACAGCTTGTTGTGCCGATGTATAGAAATCTATAGTCTATAGTATAGTCTGCTCCAATCTGCTAAACAAGCCGTATATCTGTACAACGAAAGTTTGCAAAGAAAGTGAGACGATTCAACTGGACTGGTGAGTTAGTATTTCTAGTGTATTACATATATATATTATAGTATCTATCAGCAAATTATCTAATTATACATTTTTTTTCAAGCCATTTTCAAACTTGGGATGTCTGGATATACGATATATAATACGAAATATGGCTGGCTCTGTGCAATGCTTTTAAGATTACAGTATGATAATTTGTACTTTTTTTCAGCACGACACTGTTTCTGTAACTCTACATATTTTATATGTTTTTGTGCCTATCTTTTTTCAGATATGAATAAAAATAGAGTGCGTGAAGTTTACTGAAAAGTGATTTGTGTTCAAGGGGAAAGGTTATGGAAATGTAAATAAAACACCTCTTTAGTTCACTGTCAGTTTTCACAGCCTTAATCCCCCGGACACGACACAAAACGTGACCTGGCTGGTTCCCATAGATGTCTAGGGATCATTATTCAGTCACGCTTCATATTTTTAAAGCTTGAGGGGAACACACAATGCATGCCTTCAAAACATGCCACATTTATTAAACGGTTAGATCAGGAGAGATCACTTCAGGGAGCTCACAAACCCATAAAGAAATTATATTTTTTATTGTAAAATACAAATGCTAAAATGTTCAGCTCATGGATGTAAAAAACAGACTGCTTCTCGGATTTCCACTTGGGAGAAAAAAACTCTCTTTCTATATTACACAGTAGGTTTTTGACTTAAATTTATGTGCTTTGCTCTATGCCGATATGTTATGCTCTCCAAAATCATTTTAGAAATTTCCCTACCGTTTGACTAGCACCTGATCCTGTATTTTAAGATCTATACTGAACTCTGCGCATGACACACTTATAGGTCCTTTTTTATTTAAAACATACGTAAAATGCGCACATTTTAAACCCCGTATACAGCAATGCAAGTTAAAGAAATGAAAAGGTACCAGGCAGATTAAACACAGAACACTTGGTTCAGTAAGTGACAGCCTAGGACAGGTTTGGAAACACTCCCCCAGGATGTCTGAGGTATACATGTACAGAATGTGCTCTCAGGGGAACAACCTGTAAGCCTGTAAAGCTGAGAGGAGTCTTCACTCACCTCTCTCGTCAGCACGGCGATGAAACAGCCATTGGCCCTCTCGCATGGCCCCAGCCTGAAGTAGTTTTCTCTGGCGTTGTCGACCTCTGACATGCAGCACAGAGGCAGGACGGGAGGGCTAAGTCTGTTGGCACCGTGCAGAAAACATTTTATTTTAAACCTTATCGTTAAAACTTTATAGAGGCTGGCGGAGAGTGATTTACAGTGCAGTGTTATTCCGCCATGCAAGTGCTTAAGCAAAGGAAATGCTGCTTGCTCAAGCAGCGAGAGACTGTTCGGCCACTGCGACCGTCAAAGCATGCGCCTGACGCTCGGCTGCTTACCTGTAAGGCTGCGCCTTGGTGCCCTCTGGTTTGAACAGCAGGGCTTTCCTCACCACCCCCTCGTTCTCCTCCGGGTGCACCGAGCACGTGCAGTACACCACGGCCTGCGCCTTAGGAACTGTGGACCAGAGACAGCCAGACCCCATGTTCAGGCAGTTCAGCTACAGTACGACCCCCTCAATTCAGACAGGGGGTGTTTCCTTCTGTCCCGGAAATGGGACGACATGCCTGGGATTAAAATCATTAGAAAAAATGCTATACTCTACACACTGAGGTGTTAGTGGGGCCAGCAGGGGGCGCTCACCCTGCGGTCCATGTGGGTCCTAATGCCCCAGTATAGTGACGGGGACACTATACTGTAAACAGGCGCCGTCCTTCGGATGAGATGTAAAACCGAGGTCCTGACTCTCTGTGGACATTAAAAATCCCAGGGCGTTTCTCGAAAAGAGTAGGGGTGTAACCCTGGTGTCCTGGCCAAATTTCCCATTGGCCCTTATAGATCATGGCCTCCTAATAATTCCCATCTATGAATTGGCTACATTACTGAGAGCTGATGTGTGGTGAGCATTCTGGCGCACTATGGCTGCCGTTGCATCATCCAGGTGGGGCTGCACATTGGTGGTGGTGGAGGGGAGTCCCCATTACCTGTAAAGCGCTTTGAGTGGAGTGTCCAGAAAAGCGCTATATAAGTGTAAGCAATTATTATAATTATTATTACTGATTGGTACAAAGGACCAATCTCCCTGGGAAAAACTAAGGTTGTTGCTGGAAGAGCCAGCAGGGGGCGCTCATCCTACAGTCTGTGTGGGTCTTTATGCCCCAGTATAGTGATGGGGACACTATACTGTAAAAAGGCGCCATCCTTCGGGTGAGATTGGTCATTAAAAATCCCAGGGCGTTTCTTGAAAAGAGTAGGTGTGTAACCCCAGCGTCCTGGCCAAATTTCCCCCTGGCCTTTACCAATCATGGCCTCCTAGTAATCCCCATCTATGAACTGGCTTCATTACTCTGCTCTCCTCCCCACTGATAAGCTGATGTGTGGTGAGCGTTCTGGCGCACTATGGCTGCCGTCGCATCATCCAGGTGGGGCTGCACATTGGTGGTGGTGGAGGGGAGTCCCCATTACCTGTAAAGCGCTTTGAGTGGAGTGTCCAGAAAAGCGCTATATAAGTGTAAGCAATTATTAATTATTAGTATTATTAAAAGGACAGAGTGGAAGAGTACTGGTTAAAGGGCATTCTCCTGAGCGTGACACTAACATTACTGCCAGCTCACTCAAATCAGCACACCTCTGTATGGTTTGGGCAGGCTCGGTGGCTATAATATTTCACACTATTTCTTTCAGAAGACAGGAATGGCACTGTACAAGTCTGAAGGTGAGGTCTCTGCAAGTGGCATGCTTTGCCACATCGTAATCATTCAGGCCTCGGTCCCAGACTCCGTGCATTCGGGCACTGCAGGTCGTTAAGATCCACGCTGGTGGTGGATTTCTATTTTTTTACTTTATTTTGCACTCCGCAACAGAGGAGACACAAAGACCAAGCACACACATTCTGTGAACGTGGCAGGCCGTCCTGTCACGCCGAGAGCTTGCAGCACGAAGAAGAGAGCCGGGGAGTTTCACTCTCACTGCAGAGTCACTAGTGCCTTTAATGGACCGGCTCCCCGGGACCCTCACATGAAATATTTCTAACCCACAAGCCCGCCTGCTGCAGACTGCCCCTGAACATAGGAATCCCCCGCAACTGTTGATATGGGAAGAAACTGAAAATCATAAAACATAAGGACCTTGATTCACTGAAAGTTTAAAGTAATTTAATGGAGCCTTTTCAACTCTGCGCAGTTCTCACCTAATTTAATGTAAACTCTGCAAAATTACTGTGTGGATTGTTTATTGTTATTTTTCCTGACATTATTGGGTTATGCAAATCCAGCTTTCAGCATTCTGCTATCAAAATTATTATTTTATATATAATTGGTTTAGGCTGATATGAAACATATAATTCTTTCTTTGATATGAATTAAAGCAGCTTGATTCCAGAAGATCAAGTAAATTGCATTTCTGCATCCCATTACTATTACAAAAAGTGTTATTAAACATACAATGCCCCAGTATAAACGAATTGAATTAAATATGAAGAATTACATTCACAATATACCTAGTTTAAATAACTATCAAGTAATATTCTATTGTTTATTAATTTGTGCCTCATTTGTTTATCCAAGAAATGTATATTTCTTTGCTTTCTACATCTGTTATAAATATTCACCAGATACTTAGATGAGTTCTCTGTGGGACTGTGCCTTACAGGTCACACTTGTCAATGTTTAAACACTGTGACACAGAACAGACGTTAACATATCTGAATGGGCAACACTCCAAGTTAGACGATCCAGCCATTCCTAGAGAAAATTAATCTATTAATTACAATTAAGTTTATTTAGGAGTTTAAATCTAGCTACTGTCCGAAATAAAATGTCCTTGTCTTGACTGCATACAGTATCCACAACACCTTCCAACACACTTTGCTCCTACTGACATCTTCACATCAGGCAATACAGATATGGTTTTACCGTTCAAGGTAAACTCAGTTTCATGTATTAAAATGTATGCAAAGGCGCTATGCAAAGCCATGGTCATGTACTACGAAAACAACATTGGCTGAATATAAATTAAAATTACTGATAGATAGTGCAGACTCTGTGCAGAGCTGAAAACTAACATGTAAATTGTAGATGGCATCACACTAATAATGTGTAAAATCTCATCTTCTGCAAAAGTCATGACTTTATTTTGTTTCCTTTGTCCTGTAAACTCTAATGTGCAGTTTTCT